GAGAGCATGCACAGCCGCCTGACGCGCGCAGATGCGATCAACGGAATGGTGCCAGTAACGACAGGGGCAACAGCAGCAGCAGCCATCACCACCACCACCAGCAGCAAATAGAAACAACCACCGCAAGAGATGCCATTTCTCGCCCAAACTCTCTCTGCATCTTATGCACACCCCGTTGATGACCTCGCACCCGCGATCATGCGCATCATTACTGACTGGACAGCCAGCAAAAAGCACAACCACTCAAGCCTTCCACGGCTCTCACACACACGCACACACACACACACATGTGGAGTCAACCACAACAGCCCCAGCTGTCGCTGCGGCGCCAACTACCGCTGGCACCAGGGTCGACTGAGGCTGTCGATTGGAGTGGTTGACTGTCTGGAGGAACTACTGGCTTTGGATGCACCCCCCCCCCATCGCGGCCGACGCTGAAGGCGATATCTGATTGACGCCCTGTCCCTGATGGATGCCCTGTCTCTTTGCTGTCACTGCTCTCGTTGCCGTCACGGTTGTCGTGCGCGTGTCCATTGTTCCCAACCAATACAACGCCCAACAGTGCACAGCCCCCGAACAAGATCAACATATCCCCTCAACAGGGAGGGTTCATGTCACAAGCCCCCAGACCACCAAGCAGATTTTTCCTCGCAATGAAGTCAATATCATCGGGAAGCTCTCCGTGTGCCCGAGAACACCCTGCTCTCCGCAACACCCTTGCAAATACACGATACTTGGCTTCAACTCCTGTGAACCGTCTTTTGTTGTTGGTGCTTGTGGTCATCGTGTGCGACATGACAAAATGAGGCTGCAATTCAAGGCACGAGATTCTGTGAAAGATTCCATGCTATTTTCAGCACAACGCAGGACTGTCAGAAGGAGGAGGGTTGTTTTGTTTTGTCGTTTTGTTGTGTTTTGGAGCGCGAGCGAGCACTGTCGGCTCTGCTGCCTAGGGATGAGGCGGGCAGTGCTTGTGGCAGCAGCTGCTGCTGTAAGCAGTGGTGCAGCAACGGCGCTGTATTTTGGCACGGGTGGTGTCACGCCATTCCCAATGGTGGTGCACGCAAAGGAAGATCGCACCGCCACCACTGACGCTACCACTGACGCCACCACCACCACCACAACTGCTCCTCAAACCCCGTCCTTGGCGGACCAAACGGACACGGCGCGGACAACACGGCTTGGGAACGTCACGTACGGCCATGGCAAGCTCGCTTACTTCTTTCCAGGCGTTGCAGAGGACAAGCGCAAGCAACTTGCCTTGGACACGGAGGCCTACTACTCAACGACCGATGCGCCCAGCGCAGACGCAATGACAGAGCTGTTGTCCTGCTTTGTCCAGGACAAGGCGAGCCCTGTGCTGGACGCCACGGCCTGCCTGGGCGGCAACACGTTCAGCCTGCAGCGGCGCTTCAAGAACACATATGCACTTGAGCTCGAAGAGGAGCGAATCCCACTGCTTGAGCACAACCTGCGCGTGTTGGGTGCGCGGGGCGTCAACGTGGTGCATGGCGATGCCCTGGACGTTGTCCGCGTCCCCGTTGACAACGGCGGCAAGCCCAAAGGCGCCACCACTGCTGCTGACAACAACGGCAAGAACAGCGGCAGCGAGGCCCGCAATTGGGT